AACTTTTCACTTCCATTTACATGTATATATATTTACAGCTGGGAAATGGCATGTGGTACTAAAAACATGGCAGTGTTCCTTGTAGTAAATGCTTTCTGTCATGTAAACCAAAAAAAGGGTTTACATTGCCCCATTTTTGCGAACAAGAGTGTTCATCAAATGTTCCTACAGTCACTATTCACACCCAATGAAACATAGGAAGTGTTTCTAGCTGAAATATTATTGAAACCACTTATGTCAGGCAGAGGGAAAGGAGGAGGAAGTAAAAACTGGACACAGTACTGCAATTATTTCGTTTCATGAAGTAGCCTACCTGGGAAAGATGAACTTGCAGTGTTCGGTGACAAAACTGTTTGAGTGTGTTATTTGTCTGAGGGTGAAGCAGGAACACAAAATCATTCCTGTTCTCCTGCAGGTTGCAATATCTGAATGCAAGATGGGGAAGAACGTTAGCTGTGCCAGCAGGGACGGTTGTAGAACACCAAGGCATCACAGGGAAGTCAGATTGTAAGACTGTGGGGTGTTTTTTTTGAAACTGAGAATTAATCCAAGATAAAACTGATCACTGTTTCACTCAGTCCTAGCTTGGACTTGTGTCTCTGTCCTATTAACCCTACACATGTCTGTGCTCACATGAAGCAAGCCTTAGCCCTACCTTAGGGTTTGTTGGACTGGGTCAAACCCTTTGCAGTCAGCTGATGCAAACGTGCTCTGCTACAGTCACTTTAGTGGTTCAGGTTTGTTCTAAAAATGCTGGACTGATGGTTTCCTATGGGCTTCACTCTGGGCCAGGCATTGTCAGCTTGCCCCCAGCTCTGTATCTGCAGACACTTCGTATTTTATTCTGGCTAACTCATCAAAAGCATGCCCATAGGAATGCCAATCCACACTTACAGGTGGTGTGTCAAAGACTGGAGCGCTGCTGTGACATTGTGTGAGCAACCATGCCGATGACAGCGGGACCCATTTCAGAGCAAAGTGTCAGTCAGTGATCACGAACTGGTCTCTGGTCCCCAGCCTGCAGAAAAATAAAAACATATCCTCCCAGGCTTTTTGGTTGCCAGGAACTGCTGGGCTTCATCCTCGATTGCTCCATGCACACCACTTTTTCTGCAGCTGAGAGCTTCACAGGGGAAGCAGGGAGGGAATCTGTGCTCAATCTGTGGCCAGTCAGGGACCAAAGAAACCCGCAGGGTAACTGGAACAGCAGTGGAGCTGCCCTGCACTGGGCCAGCTGCTGCTACTGTACCAGCTGGAAGGCTGAGGGAGCACCCCAATGTGCTTTTTTTTCTGATGAGGAGAAGGATAGAAGAGAACAGCACCATCCAGCTGTATGAGCATATTTCAATCAGTTTTCTGCTTCTCCTTTGCAGTTACTTCCCAGCTGCTTCACACTTCCCTCTCAGATGTAACGGGGCCCCAGATTTCAACTGCTGAGATGGAAACATGCTTAATAATAGATTATGAAAAAGACATGGTGAAAAATTCCATTATAGATGGAGGATTTTAGTGCCAGATTGTGCCCTGGGATTCCAGTGCATATCTTCCATTAAAGACATTAAAAATGTTTGCATTTCAAGGAAGAATTTGGACTTTTGACACAATTCCCTCTTTTTCTTTGGGAGCCAAACATTTTCTGTGGTAACAGAACATATTATAACAAGAATAAATATAATGCATTCAGGCACCAAAATGAATAACAGTCCTTGATGTATTTGCTGAAGATTTCAGGCATGAGATGTGAAAGCTGTTAGTGGCTTGAAGAAAGATATTTGCTGTAATTGGCACTGCAGCTTTGGTTTTATTACAAAATATGGAGGAGATAACCAGAGAGGTGTCCAGACGCTCACATCCTATGGAGAGGTTGCATTGCATCTCATGATCCTAAATTTGGCCAATGGCTTGCTGTATTTCATTGCCTTTTGAATCTAGAGATCTCAAAATCTCGGGTTTATGTACTTGCCACACACAAACTGATGCCTCCTGTTCCAGAGGGGTCAAAACCTTGGTGGGGAGTGCGTATGGCTGTATGTAAAAGGGAAATTTTAAGCCTTTTTCCTATACTCACAAGGTGTTGTATGGGTTAAAATGGCACTGTGTGAATGGAACACTTCTTTTTTTTCCCTCAAACGCTCAACCCTTCAGTTTCTGTGTTCTTTCAAATTGGAGCAATATAAGTATATACAGAGTGCAACTTTGTCCTCCAGAATGGAAATAACTCCCATCCTTCTCTCCCTCTTCAAGTGTTTGAGGCAATCTGTTTCCATTTCTTCAGTAATGGAAGCGCCTGCCTGCCTGCCTCCAATTTGTGCTTCTTCCCTGGGGAATGGGGAAAGACAGAGCTCAACTCAGGAGTTTTTGAGCTTTCTGTTCCCCCCTGCTTTCCTGGGACTTGCAGCCTGTCCTCTGGAAGTGTAGATCCCAGTGGTGATGGCACTGCAGTTTTACAGGAATATGCCCAGCATCCCCTGAGTCCTCAGGTCAAGATGAGCTTCCTGGCTGGGCTACCCAGTAAAATGTAATTTGAAAACCTTTAGAAATTTGTGTGGTGGCAGATCTCAACAGAAACTCAACTTGCTTTAGAGAGGGTTTGACAAAATTGAGTGTTCTCCACTAGAAAATGCTGTTGCATCAAAGTTGACTTTTTTTTTTTTTTTAAATTACTGTCCATCTCATCAGGGAATTCCCAGCTAGTTGTGAACAGACATTGCTTTTAATGTTACTATTCCTTTATATATTTAAGGCATAGAAAATGCCTGGTGTGTATTTCCTTGGGATGCCATGTGTATCTTCCGATTTGGTCTGCTTGTTTAGGAAAAACTAACAGTGTTACATTTTTGGCTCTTGAGCAGCCCGTAACAGCAAAGCCAAGGGGCTTTGCCTGTAAATACTAGCCACAGCTAGCTAGGGTGTGGTTTCCAATGATTTAAATACTTATAGAATGCCAGCAGAGGGTGAAACAAGGGGGGGGAGGTGGATGAAGGAGGGGAGTTGTTGTTTTGTTTGTTTTAATCTCTGTGGAACTGCCTAACTGCACAGAGCTGTCTCCTCAAAGAAATATTTGGAAATAATTCTATAGTGGTGAGAAGGGAGGGGAAGGACCCTTACTTCTTGTTGTTATTGTTCAAAAGGTTGGAAAGGCTTCTGAACTGTTTCCCAGCATTTACTGAGGCCTTGACATGAATTTTCTGATCTGTGGAAGTGGTGAGCACCTCCAACTCCAACACAAAATCTCGTCTCCAAGCAGACAAGTAACTGAATTCTTGAGGAGCCTGTGCAGATTGCTTCTACCACGTTGCTATGCTCTTCCTCTCTCCTCCAGGTACTACAGTGTACCAGACAAGCCATGTTCCCTTGATGTTACAACCCATGTAGCTGCTGTATCCAGTCAGGTTTGGAGGTAGTGCTTAATTAGTGCTCCTTGAGGGTTTTCTGGCCTTTATTTCTTATGGTTACCCTTAGCATCACCAAAGTTCAGCGAGTCCAAGGATTGGACTTAAACCCTGATGGATTTAAGAAGCTACAAGACATAGCAAAGACGAATGAACTTTGCTTAAAATAGAACCAGTCAGTTCTTTTCCTCATTAAAGAAACACACTGTGGCAGAAAGCTGGGATGTTTCCTTTCTGTGAAGGTCTTACACCAGTCATATCTTAGCTGATTCCCCTCCTCTCCTTTTGTCAGCGTGAGGCATCTGCATTAGCAAGCTGTGCTTTTCATTCCAAAGTGATGAAAGGGGACAACAATAAATTACAATGCCTTTTAAGAAGTCTCCAAATCTTATCAGATCTCACATTTCATCCTGGCTGCCCTTTCATGCCATTCTTTAACCATTACTCTAATCACCACTCAAAATTTACTATTTTGAGTGGACCTAAGTTCTTGCACCTAAGTACTTGTGCACCCAAGTGCTTGCAACTACTGTTGTGAAATAGTATGGAGGCAGAAAGCAGAGACCCTCTCTTCCTTTTTTGTAAATTCCTACTCCTTGTGAAATCCCCAAACTCACGACCTCCCATGTTTCTGAAAAGAATGACCCTGTATGTACTCTGAGGTATTGTTACACTGTTAAAAATGGAAATCTGAGGCTGCTTCTTGTGGGGTGGAGGGGAAAGAGTTGAGAAAGGTGGTGGGTTTACCCCAGCTGTCTCATGATGCTTGAACACTGGGAGTAGAAAACAATATAACCAATATCTGAAAATGCAGCCACTTACCACTCTTTTATATAAATTCCAGATTATGAGCCAAAGTCACTGTTGACATAAGCAGATGCAAATCTAATGAAGTCACTGCAGTTACTTCTACTTATGCCAGAGGTGAATTTGTCCCTATTTTTGGAACATGCTAGTTTTGTGCTACAGCATTGGCACACTGTATCATGTCAAAATCCTTTTGAGCAATGGCAGCATGCCACTGGCTGACTGACACGGTGCATCATGTCAAACATCTGCCTGATAATGGTCCTGGCCTGCTTTTTGACATGATGCATCACGCCACTGTATCGTGCCCCGAAGGCATCTGATACGAATTGTGGCAGGATCTGATAATAAGGAATGTGTGCTAACTGAATATCAGAGCATTTTGGCATCTTGTGGAAAACAGTGATCTCTGTGTTAGTGCATTTATAAACCTCTCAGAAGTGCCTCATGTACTTGGGTGAAAAATGATCACTTAATGTACTCCCACTTCAATGTGTCACATTAACATAGTAGATGATAAATCATTTTCTGTTTTGATCTGTTCTGCTTTAAGGACTGATATTGGATTTTCTCCTAAAAATGATCGATTGGTATTGAAAGAGCTTGTTTCTATATTTGTGATTTTACAGGCTTGTTTGGTTACTGCTATTAAGTGTGTTATTAAGGAGGGTGTTGTTCTGGGTTTTGGGGGTTTTGGATTTTTTTTTTTTTTATAGACTAGCATCAGGCGTCGTCGCTTTTGCATCTGAAAGCGTTTTACCTCAGACAGAACGGTGCTAAACAACATTTTCCCTAAAACAGGAAACATGTTTCACAATCCTCTGCGGCGAGCGGCACAAGCTTCTCCGAGAGGATCTGCGAGGGTGGAGAGCAGCCAGTCGTCCAAATGCGAGGAGGAGGCCGGGTGCCAGGAGACAGGGAGGCCAGAGGAATGCCTGGAGGCAGCCTGGCCATATGCTTGCGGTAAAAACCTCCAGGTCAGGATCAGGCTCGTGTCCAGGAACAGCGAACTTCAGAAGGTGGTACTTGTTATTGCCCGACCGATGGCCTCTGGCTCCTGCAAACGTCGCTGTCGGGATAATGTTCTGCCTTAGGCTGGTTGTTGCAATAGGAAATGAGGGGGGAAAAGAGATTTTTGAAATTAATAGGGCCCAGATCGAGCGGCAATCAGCGCTTGGATTTTCTGTTTTTGCAAAGAAACCATTCAGAAGTCCGTATATTTGGTACAGCAAAGTGTATGCTGCAACTGTATTGTACCCTTGCAGATACTTCTGAGTGACTGCAGAGTTTCACACTTCAGATTGAATCTGTTTACACAGATATACAAAATGCAACAGGAGCAAGTTATCAGAGCGCTATTAAAAAAGTATATCCCTACCTTAAAATCTGTATGCCCAAAACTCACCAAAAAAAAATAAAAAAAGGAAATAAAGAAAAGAAACTAAACACGCCTGCAGGAAATTGGATCTTTGTTCAAAGTATTGCAGTCGAATGTTTTAGAGAAATGCTTTCTATAAACAGGGAATCCTACTGGGGTCAGACAGAGCTATTTTAACCTTGTGTATTCATCTAACTGTTCTGGCTGAGGAGATGTGCGTGTGTTTGTGTGTGTGTGTATATACAAAGAGAGAGAGAGTACGAATTTAGAATTTTTGGTTGAAGGCTTCAATTTCTGGCCACTATTAAATGTAGGCAAACTTCAAAACAAGTTTTGTGAAAAAGAAACTTGAAACAATAATTAGTTTTAGACCAAACGAGAAGAATTACAAGAGCAAACAAGTGTAAATCATTCCCAGGCTCGTAAGCTGGAATGATGCTAACAAACCATATGCATAGTCTTTTCCATGTGAGGAATGGCATCGAAAGCCTCCGGGTGCAGGACTGCAGTAAGGGCAGCTCGCTGGCAGAAATGTGCACACAGAGGTAGGCCATGAATATTTGTGAATATGAATAGTTTTGAATATGACTGTAGCCATTACAACCAGATCCCGGGTTTTCAAGGAGAGCACTACACTAAATTTTCATTTTTTTTTTTTTTTTTTTAAACATCGCGGATCAAATGTGGGGAGGGAAGGGAATCTCCGGGCTAGCCAACAATCCATCCTATGGAACAAGTAGGTTCTCCTTCCTCATCGATGAATTTCCAGGACGAACCCTTCGGGAGCGGGAAGCGTGGCTGACACAGGTGACACCTTGCTTAGGCTTAGCCGAGCTCCTCACGGACCAAAAACCCGGCAACCAGAGATGCTTCCCGCTCCCGCACACAGAAGCGACGGGGACCCGACGAACGGGTACCCGCGCGGTGCCTCGGAGCGATGGGGAGGGGCGGGAGGGGCAGGGGCAGGTGCTGCGCGCCCGCGGAGCGGCGGGCGGGGCGCGGTGGGGTCTCCGCCCTCCCGGCGCTGCCGCGGCCGCGGCCGCCGGGGCGCCCCGCGCTGCTGCCGCCACCGCCGCGCTATAAGTGCGGGCGCGGGGCGCGGCGGCCGCCGAAGATGCGCTGGCGGTCGGAGCTGCGCGGCGCCTCGCCGGGGCCGCCCCGCGCCGAGGACGAGGAGCAGAAGAAGAAGAAGAAGGAGGAGGAGGAGGAAGAAGAAGAAGAAGAGGAAGGGGCAGACGGCGGTGGCGCGGGGCGGCCGCGGCCATGAGCTGCTCGGACGTGGCCATGCAGCAGCCCGCCCCGGCGGCGTGCGGGACGCCCCGCTATCTAGCCGCGCCCGCGGCGGGATGCGCGCAGGTGAGGCGCTGCGGTGGGGAGAGCTGGGAGGTGGAGGGGGGTTTTTTTGGGGTGCTTTCCCCCCGCACCCCCCCTTCCCCGCCGCCGTCAGCGGGCTGCAGAGTGCATCGCTGGCTGGCCGGGGCGGAGACCTCAGCCCCGGCCAGCCAGCGATGCGCTCTGCAGCCCCCGGCCTGATTTGGAGATGCGGGGAGCTGGTGAGGGTGCCCCAGAGCAACGGAGCTTGGTAAGACCTTTTTTTTTCTTTTTTTTTTTAAACGACAAAAATATTTTCCCCCAAAATTCTTGTGTTTGGGGGGGGGGGGGAGGGGGGGCTGTTGGCTTGCTCGGCGGGAGCGGGACAGAGGGGGAAAAAGTTATTTCTTTTCTCCCCTCCCCTCCCTCTTCGCTTCGCCGTCGTTCCTTACTGGACGACCCTCCCTTTGCGGGCGCTGAGCAGCGCCTTCGCCCCGCGGGCGCGCACACGGGCGGAACCTCCGCCCTCCGCCGGCGGGAGGGGACCCGCGCTGCTCCCCACGGACGGGGCGCGCCGCGCCACTCACCCCGGCGCTCCTGGAAGATCGTCTCCGGCGGGTTTCCAGCTGAATTTGGTGATCAGATGTATTTTTTTCCCTTTTTTTTTTTTTTTTTTTAAAGTGAATCAGGAAATTCTTATCAGGCTGACAGCATTTTTAGACTATGCAGTGCGTGGGTGAAGTGGGACTAATATTGACTTGGCCCTAATGTAGTCATCTGAGAATACATTTTTTGGTCGTTGCTGCATTCCATAAGGTTTTATCATTATTATCCATGAAGATTGTTTTCTCCGTACATGGGAAGTGACCCCTAATATCAACTTGCCTGGGAGACACGAGTATGGGCTAAAACATTAAAATTCCTATCGTGTATTGCTGGTTTTTTTCCTTTATTGTTGGGAGACAGAGCCTGTTTGCAGAAATGATACCCCAGTGAACTTGTCCAGGTTGCTCACGTTGTTCACTGGAAAACTTGTGAGTTCTGTCTGTTGCATCCTGCCTTTGCAATTATTTTTTCTCTGACCTAGGTCACAGCTTGCAGAACCTTCTATCTATTCAATAATTTTTACTTATGAACTTTGTATTTGAATATGTGGAGCTCCGGTTGTTAGCCTGTGTGATTTGGACGGAAAATAAATAAATAACCTCTAATAACCTGACTCTCTGACAAGAGACCTAGAAGTAGAAAACTACAATTGAAACTTTCTTGAGCTTTTTGACCTATAAGTCTGGAGGTGATGATCTGTATTTCTCTTCCAGATTTATAGAACACGCAGTATGTGAAAATCTATTAAATGATCGTTAGCAGCTGTGTCGTGCTCAAGCGCAATTGCTTTTTAATTTTAAGCATAATCATGAAGTTTCTCCTTCACCATATATGAAATGTCCCAGAGGCACCATAATAAAAACCAAAGTTTCTTGAAATAATTTTGGATAAACTGAGTTCCCGTGGGTTATGCTATTTATCAAGTGGAGGTAGATAAGCAAGGAAAGAAACATAGATAGCTCTAATGAGCCAGTACAGCTCATGAGTCTTGGCTGAGACCATTTATTCCATTTCCACCTAAAAACTTTCTAAACACGGCTATCCTACACGTTATTGACAGTTTGGTTTAGTCAATCCTGTTTGCACCAGTTTTCCTGAAATACGTGAAGCTGGAGGGTTTTCCCACTCTAGTTAAATGTCAGACTGAAAAACTGAGCTGTTGCTGCTGAACTAAGAGTGCTGTGCCCTCTGATTCTAGCAGCTGCTAACTTTAGAGCAGTTTATGTATTTTTCTCTGAATCCAATGTTTTCTAAATTAAAAAAGTAAACATAGAATGAATTCCTCATGCATCTGTATTCATAGTGAAAAGATTTATTGTTTGGGTAATGTGTGACATTTTGCAAATCTCTTCTATTCCTTCAGAATTGTCCTGTCAGAGACATTTAATCAACTGGTAGAGAGTGTAAGAAGGAAGGATGAAGAATCTGTTGCCAGGTTTTTGGTTCTTCTTACACGTGTTCACCATGTAAAATGCTGCTGCGTTCTTCATGGGGATGATAACCATTTTAAAGAATGTTCCTCTTTGCTGGAATTAAAAAACGGTGGTTTAAAAATAACAGCAAGGGAAGATGAATTAGTGGGCTATCTTAGAAATAAGGCTCTGCATTGGAGCTGATAAAGTGGAGCTCACCCTTAAAATATCCGAGGACTCCACTGAAGCATTTTTCAGTGGTGTTGTACTACTCTGGTGTCTTTTGGTTTGTTTTCTGAGAGAAAGCTCCTCTGTGCTGTTTCTGTTGGCTTTCCTTTTTTTCTCAGTGAGAGATGTAGGTGTGTTACTGTAACTAAAGCTGTTGCATCTTCACAGGTGTTGTGTAGTAAAGCCATCTCAAACACCTAATGGGTTATGCCAGCTTTCTGCATCACTTTCATATCCATTAAAGAGCAAAGCAGCTCCTTAGCTTGAGAGCTGCCCTTCCAGGTGTACAGGCTCCAGTTCTGAGCTGTGGTGTCTCTCTGGAGAGCCAAACTCATCGTGTTTCTATAGGTCTCATGCTGCATGTGGGGGTCAGGAGAAGTGCCTTCAGCAAGGGGCTGGCGTTGTGTCACTGCTCTGCAGCGAAGGGGGTTCAAATGGTTGTCTCCTTTTTGTTGTCTTGTTTTGTTTCTTTCTTTGTTTGTTTTTAATGAGAGGTCTCAGACTGTTTTTAAATGATGGACTAATGTGCACCTGGGTTGTGCAGAAATGTCTGTTTAGGGGATGTTTCATCACGCTTTTTTAAAGTTTCCCCACTCTGAAGTCATTTCCACATTTCTGTGTCTGTATTTTTTCCTCCCTTAAAATCAGCACAGAACTGATTTTTTTCCTTGCAATGAAAGGCAGAATTTCTGGAAACTTAGCTTTCACCGATCCTTAGCCAGGAAAGGACTTGCTGGCAAATAATTTAGATGGGATTTTATTTTAAAGCCCCTAATGGACTGAAGCCTGAATTCCTATTGAACGTTAATGGGAGCGGAGGCTTAGCACCTTAGATCTTTGAGATTTCTCAAGTCCAGGGTGTTTGCTGGAGGGAAGTAAGGGGAATATGGTTTGTATACCTGCTCCATATGACGCCAGAAGGAACTGATGAAATTGGGGCGTGGCCCAAATTTTACAGATAAATCGGGATTTCCATACTTTGCCAAAAGATGGGAGCGAGCGTGTGCCGATGTCAGAATGTGAGCGCGTTCCTGTGTCTGGTGAGGATCTGTGCCTGCGTGAGGGTAAAACCCTGCAGAATGGCAGAGTTAAAACACTCTTCGTCGTGCGCTCTCCTGAGGGGCTGTGCAGCTGCAGCAGTAAGTTTTGGCTTTCCTGTGGGTTGGGTGAGGAATGGGTGTAACGGAATTCGAAGAGACTTTGGAAACACATAATTGCTGAAGAATCCCATTGTGTTCTCGGCACGTTGTGACGGCTTGTCGTGTCCTGTCAGGCCAGGTACAGCAAGCTGCAGAGCTGAGGCTAAGGCAGGATTCACCCTGGCTCACTAACACCTGAGCTTAAGACTTTTGAAATGGGAAGTTACAGTAAATGGTAGTTTTGGAATTTCTCCATGGTATGTAGATGTAAGCCAACATCTAAGCCAACACTGTCC